GTCATCATTCAGAATTCACGGAAACTTATACAAGTAAGCGCATAAATACTGCTTCTCAACACTGTTCAATTCTTTCTTTCTATATCGCTACAGGTTTCATACAGTTCAAACGACTACGTTTGCATAACCGTATGCCTATTATCATGTACTGGATGTCATCAAACTGGAATGGTGCTCTCGATAACTGGTTAGGTATTCGACAGACATATATTTTTCAAATATTTTGAAGACAATGAAATTTTATGAATGCAAGTAAGCGACAGATCTTGGAACTTGCTGCAATCTACTTGTTTTCTGCCAAGCGTCTATTTGACTATGTTACCGCACGGCAGACAGCAATATCACATATGAAGAAGTTTTGTTCTCCAAGTTCAATTCTTTCTGTCATTATGAAGTTTTTTGTGCCGACGAAAGGTGAAAGATCCTAACAGGAACAACAAACTACTAGAAAGAGCACAGGCATAAGGTTCGCGTCAACGCCGACTGATAACCCAATCGCTGCAACAAACGACTAGTACAAGAACAACCTGAGATTCCATGCAAGCACTGAGAAATTTTATAGTTAAGCCCAGCAATACACCTGTTTTACATAGTGTTGCCGCCAAATGAGCATTCAAAGCTGATCTTCAGGACTGCTCCAAAAGTTGCTTAAAACCTCAGTGAAAAGTGCATTCATACCCAGCGGTTAATCGTAAAACACAAATGACATAACCTGAAAGGGAGCGGCAGAAAAATAAGGGATCTCATCACATGCACGCGAACGAAATTTACATAATATCCACTCAACAGAGTAAAAATAAGTCAAAGTACAGATTGTCTAGGCATTAAGCTCTCGCTGGAATAACGGAGTCTGTATATGCTTTTGTTAGATAGGACTATTGACAATACCTCTTTGTCTAATAGAAGTTTCATGCTTTTAACAGTCGTAAAAATATCTTTAAAACAATTAGCCTTATGATGAATTAACGTAAAAAACGCGTAAAAATAAACAGTAAATTTTAGACTCACCAAAAATATTACAGTAGGAACAACTAGGAAAGCGCAGCCAATGGCGGAATACACGTATTGGCGTCGATACTCAGGCATTAGATCGATCGACCGGATTAGTAGCACAGCTAGCACTGCTGCGTAAAGAACTCCGATGAGAACCAAGCAGATCAATATCCAAAACGGAATAAAAACTACCTGAAACTGCAACATATAAAAACATGTAAAAATCTTAAATATGCTTAGGACAATAGAATGAGAGAATTCAACCGCTGTCAGAATGTGTCTGGAAGCATTCTTGGTCATTTCGGTTCCAATAACTTCTAACTTCAACTCAGACGGCCTTCCAATTTAAATGTCATAAATTTTTGCTGCTTAAACAATACCCAAGCCGTTGAACATATGCAAACTCGTTCATACATCTCACTGAAAAAAGGCAATGACAACTAGGCAGCGACGATGTATCAATGGATTCAAATGAATATTTACTGAAGACTGGAAAAAAGACTAAATCAACGAGAGCCAAGAAACAGTAGTTGTAAAATCTTTCGTGAGTTTGAGGTACAGGTTGGTGTTTATAATCCATGTTTTGCACGCTAACTAAAAGAATATAAAGGTCAGGGTGGGGGAGCATAAGGCATTTAACCAAAAAAATTATTTAATGAAAATATGCTATAGGTGTTTAAACAGGGACTGCGCTGCTTTGGCAGAAAAAGCTTAGCTGTTTGCCATAAAAATTCGTACCATCCAAGTCCAGTTGACCATTCCGTCAAGCTTCAAGGCCAAAAACACAAATTGCACGATATTCACAGCAAAAAATAGTTCGAACTAAATTACATAAATAAAAAGATTATACATGTTTGAACCTTACCTCAAAACTGCGCTCTCTTCGCAGAAGCCATATACAGATCAAAATCGCAATAAGGGATTCCAACAGCAATGGAATAAAAATTAGAATCCAGAGCATGGGCAAATCAGACTGCAATTTGAAGCAGACCATAACTTCGAAAGTCAGCAACAGCATGTTTTCGCCAAACATTAAGATCATACTGCGAAACTCCAATTCCAGGAACAGCTCGTTTCTAAATATTAACTCGGTACTTGGCACTGATTAAAAAATATGCAATTATCCTTCGGCTTGATACTAAGAACAATACAATATTTATCAACCTCATGAAATATGCACATGCACATTCCTTACATAGCATATTTAGTCACATGGCAAATCGTTAATAACAGATGCATACAAACTTTAAATCACATACTACAAAAAGTCTAGGTTAACATTTATGCCTAGATGCTATGGATATTTAAAATGGATAATTAGAAGAACTTTACTAATAATTTATTGAATTACATTTGGCAAGCAGCGCGATAAAGGATTAAAAGTTTATTCGCTTTTTTTACTGCATTCACTAATAGACAATCGCTGAAAAATAGAATGCTTCAAAACCTGGATAACATGATGCTTATCAAGTGAAAATAATTAATATGACAACAACTCAAATAAAAGAAAACCATGGATCTTAACATCGTGAAGATGCAATGAACAACAAATAGTTTCAGTTCATCCGGCTGTATAAGTCTTAGAAAACAGCAGTAAGACTGGTCAGTTTAAATAGCGTCATCGTCTATCTGATAACTGAATGTATCTTAACTGTATGTGCCAACCTTAATTTCCTGCAACTGCAAAAATAAGAATTCGTGGATGCAGTGAGTTAAAAAATGACATTCTGGTTTATTTTTTAATGTAAAATGGGTCCTTCGTGTTTTTTAAATCGAAATTTTCAGGGGATTAAAAAACAAGAACAATAAATGAATATGCATAAATTGGACTTATTAAACTAGCGTTTGTTACTTCTCTTCAGATTATTGCTCTGATCATGGATCTACGAGATCGACATGAAATGCCAGTTTGACAAGCAAGACTTTATGGCCGGTTTCCTGCTTTACATCGGAATAACTCTGCCATATGAGACGTAACTCCTTGGTGCGGGGAAGAAAACGCAGGAAAGATGGCTGCGTTCCATGGGGAAAATTCAGGGCGGGCCAAGCCTCAAGAGCCGTCAGACGTACGCTTTGTTGAAGAGGCCAGGCAAACGTAGAATGCGAACAGAATTTCTTGCCAAGAATAAATGAAATGAATGGTACAAGCATAATGCACCCCAACTTCAATGTGCGCAGCTCAAATATTAAACATCTCAGGCGAAATGCCGTTATCTGAAATTCAGACACTGCAATACATTATCACTCTGGCATGAAAAAATATAGCAGCATTTGCTACCGTACAATATGGAAGCAACCTACCGGCCTGGCGGATATTTGCAATGACTAATGCAGCCAACGATGGTTCCAAGCATCAAGAGCAATTTCCAGGCGAAAAGAGGAAGAAACACAATCCAGTAGGGAGCATCGATGAAGTTATCAATTTTTAGAGCAAACAGGAGAGTAAAAGCCAACAGCATGAAGTAGACAACGAATTTCCTGAAATGAAACGAATAGAACTATTCAGATATTCAGATTAAGCAGCGAAACTAATAACAAAGTATCACATATCTGTATAGCCATCTTCTCACAACGTCAACTACAAACGGCATCAAATACATAACAATGAACTCAAAAGAATTCATCACTTCAATGAATGCTCCAAAATCAACCTACGCAAATAAAGACATAACTTACGAAGGATTGCATCCTTGAAAGAGAAGTCGCAAACTGATCTCCATAAGAAAACCTCACGATCTAATGAAACAGTTGTAGTCAAACGAGGTCTCACAATGGCATGCCTGTCTATCGG